CTAAACATAAGTTTTAGGAGGAGACAGAGAAGCAGAGAGTGGAAGGCCCCTGGACCAATGAAACCTTCATTTCAATGGGTCCATAGTTTGACAGTCCATTTGACAGCAGAATCTGCAGCTTCATCCCTAACCCAGGATTTAATTTTTTATAGACAACTCTGTTTTCCTTACTCAAAGCATAAAGTTACATGTCCAGACCTTCATGGAAACCCATGAGAACCAGACAATCCAGGCTCAGCCACGGCCATTAAGAAGCTCACTTCAAACTCAACAACTTCAGTTATAGCTCAGCATTAGATTACGTTAGCCTGCCACAGTTTCAACTTCTAAACTTTTTATATTAAGATCTTCACAGATGATCATTTCCAGTCATTGTTTCAGGACTGGTGGTGATGCTAAAGCGAACTTGAATGTCATTCTCTGTCTAGACTGAGATCTAACAATCTGTTTCAAGGGTTCTTAAAAATAATCCCAGAATTTATAGGCCGACTGATAATAAGGGGGGGGGGCTGCAAAGAGAACAAGTTTGTCGAGCTCCTGTTAACAACCAGCACAGTGTAAGGAACCGCAATGACTGAGAACAGGAGCCTGGAGAGTAGTGAAGCAATAGCTGTGGGCTTTGTACTCAGACCAACCTGAACTCCATTCTAGAGCCAGTCTGTTGCTAAGCATGCACAAAATCCTTAATGCCTCTGTGCCTCAATCTGCCTTGCCAGTAAACGGGGGTCAGGCAAGCCTGCCTCCCCAAAAGGTAGACTGAAAGAATGAGATAAATCTGGATCTATATTTAACTCTGGGTCTTTAACTATCAGAAAATGTTAACTCTGCCTACGTTAAGATTCACTCTCAACATCTACAGGTGGAGTTATCTGGAATGAGAAAATGGCATCAGATATCCCTAAAAAAAAATCCAAGGAGTCCATGCTATTTCCTGTCTGAGTGTAGTGGAAGGTGTCACGGCAGAGGTGACACTGAAGCAGATGGGGAAGCCCTGAGTAGGAATAAAACACGGTCCCTATGATGAACACATACCCTTTGCCATGTACTATGATTGCCTTCTGTATAACCCCAACAACACGACAAATACTATAAACCCCATTTTATAAGTCAAAACTGTTTTACTGATGACACTGATGCCCAGTTGTGGCTGATGTAGGCTTCACAGAAGAAGGGGAAGACAAATCATTCCAATAGGAAGCAGAGAAGAACAGGGAACCTGCACTAGAGAGCAAGCAAGAAGCAAACAACTTTTGGCTTTTATTAAAAAACATGAGCAGAATGGTAAGCTGGGGTGAAAGAGAATGGGAAGATATGGAGACTAGACATTTGTGTGTGTACAATGCGGAACTGTTTGGGGGTGTATGTGTTTAATTGAGCACAATACTAAGTATTGATTGGTTACCTACTAAGGGTGACCCCAACAAAACATTTTACAAACACTGTTTCTCTAATAGTCCCAACAATGCTGCAACTTAGGCATTGTCACCACCATTTCACAAATAAGGTCCAAAGCAGTCACATTCTCAATGGATGACTCTAGTAGGGTTCTTCTCACTTCAATGTCAGAGACAGGGCCCTTTCTCTACCACAGCACTGCAGCTAATCCTCCCCTGCAACAGGAAGGGAAGCCAAATAAAGAAGACAAATAAAATGGAGAGATGGAATTATCTAGAAGTAACATAGGGACCCGGAGTATGGAGACAAACATCACTGTGAACATGAAAAGGACAGTGGCAGAGGATGAATGTACAAGTGACCCTCCAATCCCACATCCTTCTGATAACCAGGAGAGCAAAGCAGTAATTATCCCGGTCAGCATCCCTTGCTGCCTCATCTTCAAACCTGAGTCTTGTCACCCCAATAGCAAACACTAGTCTAGGCATTTACCTCTCTCATCACAATACTATCAAGACAAAAAGATGGCATCATTCCCCCATCTATTATTTGCATCGAAAGTCAATCACTCAAGAGAATAAAACTAAGCCTCCTTACCCAATAAATCACATTATCCCTCACATACCAACATTTCTAAAAAAAAAAAAAAAAATCTGCCTTAAATACATATCCTGTCAAAGCAGAGGACACATGCTGGGCCTTAATGAGCCCTGCCAAGTCCTGCATCATTATTAAGGTCCATCGTGATGAAGAGAGCATACACTGTTTTATAAAATGGAGTATGTTATCAATATGTGTTAGACTGCTTTGTAGCTAATATTCTAGGTGAAGTGGCATAAAACAACACAGTATTAATTTATATGCAGATATTTCCTTCAAAATCCACAGACCAAGTGAACAGTTACTACAGCACATGATTTGCTGAAATCAAGAGTTTTAATATTCATGTAATGGTTCAAAAAGACAAAATACCTTTGCATTAAAACCTTGGATTCTACAGTCAACCCCATTCAATGACAGACTTTGATGTTTTGAGTGTGAAAAACAGTGGTATTTTAGAGTATACAGAGATGGACTGAATACATAAAGATAAAAGATTATGCGTTGAGGTTTGCGCATGGGCAGGTGGGAGGGTGGGAGATGCTTACATGTGTAAGATAAAGCAAAATGATAGCATACACATTCCAATTTACAGCCCCTAATTGCATAAAGATCTGTGGTTTGTGGCTTTTAGTCCACCAGACTTCATTACAAATGCAAAGATATACATCAGTGTTAGAACTCTCTGTTCACTTGCACATACTCAGACCCAGGCAAATCCTGGAAAATTTAAAAGTCCTTTTCTCTGAAGTCACACTTGCTACTATACCAGTGTTCCACCTCAAGAGACAACCACCTCAAGAAATGGAGCAGAAAAGAGACTATCTATCCCTTTTGCCTGCTGGTCAGTGAAGTCTACCTGTAAAGTAACTGTAACTTCCTCATTCACTTTTGCTTCAAACCTTAAAGTTTCCTTAACCACCCAAGCTGGAAGTCACCACAGCCCTGCTAGCCCAGCTGCTTATCGTAACAATGGCTTACTGCAAACCCACCCTTTTCCCACCTTCAATTTCAACAGTGAATTTAGGTGTTTTTTTTTTTTCCTTTAAGAGAAAGACTGTGTACTAAGAACCCATACCCCACCACCACCAAGTAGTTCAGTGAACTGTCATGTTAAAATCATGTAACCCCAGGGAGTCTTCTGTTTAATTGCTACTGTTTCCCTTCCCCCAAAGGACTATGTCTTATTTGGATGTTGCAATGAAAAGCACTACATGAAGACAGACAGAACAAACACACAATGGGTTTAAATTTTTAAACATCCAACCTTTTCATGAGTCACTGTTAATCATTTGTACCTGTGCCTTTAATAATCAGCCACACAATTAGCAAAGCAAAATCTGCAGAATCTGTAGGAAGAAACTGAGTAAGGATGCCTAATCACAACCAACCCCAAGCCAGAGAATAAAGGAAAGGGGGTTTTGTCTGTGACAAAAAAGAAAGTTTTACACGTCAGTTCCACCAAATCTAAAGAGCATTAGAGCTGCCAGTACTCAAAATCTTCATCTTCTAACAGCAGAAATAAAAGCTGGGGTGGTGGTTCACCATTACAATCTCAGTACTCTGAGGCAGAAGGATTGCCATAAGTTTGTGGCCAGCCTGGGTTCCATATTGCATCGCAGGCCAACCTAGGCTACAAGTATAAGATCCTATCTCAAAAAAAAAAGAAAAAAGAGGGAGGAGGAGGCAGAGTCAAGATCTCACACGTGAGTGTGTGTGTGTGTGTGTGTGTGTGTGTGTGTGTGCACTCTTGTATTTCTAAGTATCAAAATTTACCTCCTGTAATCATTTTCAATACAATAAGAAAAATCACCCTAATTGAGGAAGCTAGTCTTACTGCCTCCAGTGAGAAGGCAGGACCGCTGACATTACACTGCTTCATCACTTATCCATGTGAAATGCAAATTTAGAGCAACAGGAAGAATACTCTGGGGAAAAAAAGGCGGTGCTCTGCATCAATGGAACACACACATTTGGGACATACAAGAAATAAGATCTCTGTTCCTTGCGATCTACCCTCAGCAGTCATCGTCTCTGTGAGTGTGTGTCTCCATACCCTGGAAAGTCTCCTCTGCTGCCATAGGCAGAAAGGAGTTCCTATGAACAGCATCTGGACCACACCTTAACTGGCCATAGGAGATGCTGACAAAGGCCGGGAAGAAATCCGTCTAGTCCAGATAAGAGGATAGCACAAAGAATCAAATATGCCCCCCTTTCAATTAATCAAGAAGGGCCTTAAAATGACTATTTTGTGTAATGGAGTTCTTCTAGACCATTCACTATAACATACTGCTCATTCTATGGGCTATATGGTAAGGTTTTGTGGTCCAGCTGCTGTTACTGCTAGCCTTTCCACAACAGTGGAAAGCATCCTTGTAGTGTGTAAATACACTTTGGGGGGGGGAGTAAAACACTGCTGAAATATCAGAAAACACTCTCCACCCACTACAAATATGTCCTAGGTCCAACGCATATGGGATGAAGATTCGAAACTGCCTGTATCAAAATTTCTTTTCTTTCTTTCTTTTCTTCCTTTCTTTCTTTCTTTCCTTTCTTTCTTTCTTTCTTTCTTTCTTTCTTTCTTTCTTTCTTTCTTTCCTTCTTTTCTTTTCTTTTTTTTTTTAAAGATCCACTTGTTTGTTGAAGAACCTACTGAGGAATCTTCCAAAAATGCCACCCATAGTTTATCTATTGCTCCTACTATTTACCTTGCTAGGGAATCGTGGGGAGTGTTTGGTAGTTACCCAGTCCTTCCACTTGTAGCAGGAAAGAACAAAAACGCAGCACAACACTTAACTCAGAAGAGATTTAAAAGCCTTTGAAAGGACAGACCTCTCCCTCCCACCTGCACCTTGCTCCCTCTTCCTGCCCTAGCTCTAGCATCTGCAGCCCTTCTCTAAGCTGCTCCCAGGAAAATCCTTTATTCCATAGGGCTCTTGGACATGACCCCGCTTATTCCCACCCTTCCATATCCAATCCCTTCCCACCGCCCCAGTGGTCCTTACCTGATAATGTCGTCGTTGTGTCCCAGGAAGAATTTTTGGCTGTGCTCTCGGGTGTTGTACACCACCCCTACTCCAGCTACAAAGTAGACCACCTCCTTGCCGGCGGTGTAGTACAGGTTGTTGCGGCACTGGTGACCCCGGTACCCGTATACCCACTCCAGCCGGAGCTGGCATCTGGGAGCTGTCCGATCCGCCATGATAAGCCGACTCCGCGCGACCCCCGGGTGCCCCGCGCGCCGGCTCTGTCCTCTTCAAGGCTCGAGCTGCGACGGACCTGCAAGGGCTCAGGGTACAGCGCCGGGCGCCAATTTCCGCGGCGACGCACAGACACAGCTCAGCACGCCGACCGCCACCATCATCTGCTGCTGCGGGAGAGAAGCCGCCGACGTCGGTACGCAGCAGCAGGACCCCGCTGGGCTCCGCGACTCCTTCCCCCGGGGTCAAGCGGGCTTCGGGGGCGCCAGCACCCGCGCGCACGCCTCACTGCACCTGCGGGCTTTGGGCAGCGGGAGAGGTTCTCCCCGGGGTCACCCCGCCTTTAAAATCAGAGACCTGCATATCCAGACACGGATTACCAGTTCGCCAAGTTTGAGGAGCGCGGGGGCTTCACAGAAGGCGGCGGGATTTATTCTGTGACAGGTCTGATCTGACAGGCAGACGGTTACTCCGGCTTACTGCTTTGCCATCACCGTCCTTGGATCCGAAACTGACAGTCTATATCTAGGATGCCAGAACGAGGAAGAGAAAGAATTTTTGCATGTCACCTAGTACAAGAAAATAATTACCAAACTAAAACCAAGTTGTTGGTTGTGGGGTTTTTGTTTGTTTTTGTTTTTTTAATTGTCCACATTTCTTCTTCCAAATCCACCTTAATTATACGCAATACGCCCTAAACACTACTGGCCGGTAGTGGCTGATCTAATTTGAAATAATACTCGCTGTTTCCTCCATAAAGCCAGGGTGAATATGCAATGGTCATTTTTTTAGATGCTCCAATTAGCTGTCATACATGTGTTTAAAATCCAAACCCTCTATAAGCCTTCTCTTCACAGAGAAAACCATTAAAAAAAAAATACTTAGCCGCTCTCACCTAATCAGAGACTCCAATTGCAAGTGTCATAATTTTTTTTCTGAATCGGAGGAAACCCGGCATCAGGGTACAGGGAACAGCTAGTTGTAGCTACTTACAAATGTTCCGGATCAGAAAAAAAAATAATAAAAATAATAAAATAACAGCAACAATAATAAAGTGTCAAAAAAAAAATCATGCTCCTCTCCCCAGGAAGATTTGAGCTAGCTATGAGAATCAAGGGCTCTGAGATCTTGCCTTTAGCTTGGCGGGAGGGGGACGGGGGCGGGGTCTCCCGTGGAGGCCGGGTGTCAGCGACACCCCTGGCTCAGCCGGGCTCCTGCTTTGGCGGTTCTGAGGGTTGGAAGCCCCAGGGACACCTGGCTCAGGCTCTACCGTCCCAGAGGGTTCCTGCACTCCCACCCGGACCAGCCTCGCCCATAGCATCCCTGCTCTCTCCGCCTCTAACCTCTGCTGCCCGCCTTGCGTCCAGGATCCCGCATCAGCCAGCGAAATCCTCTGCCTGTCCTCCCTCCCCTCCCCGCGCTCCCGGGTTAGGCTTCGTCACGGGGGCGCCGGGGACCAGCTCTTCCTCTTTCCACGGCTCCGGGGGCGGGGCCAGCGCATGGACGGGTTACTAGGCGAAACTGCGGCGCTAGGAAACCCAGACGCCTGCGAGGGCTGAAGCCTCCCCTCCCTCTGCCCGCCTGTTCCCTATGCATCTTGGGAATCGTAGTCCTCTGTAAACCAGCTGCTAAGGCGAGTGTCCAGAGTGTACCACAAGTCCCAGGATTCCATGCATCCACAGGGCCGTGGTACCGGTGCCACCGGAGCCTGCGTTTCTCCTATCGGACCCCGCAGCTCATCCAGGATGGCGTTGGCGTTCCGTAGTGACCCAGGCCAGCGGCCTGTGCGTCTGTGCTGAAAGCAGAGAAGATGACCTGGAGGAAATTCAGGAGCTTTCCCTAGGACTTTCTCTTGCGCCAGTCCCTGAGTATTGCTGTAGCCCATCTCTTTTCCTTGTTGCAGCTCTAGACTCCTGTTTCCTACTTCAGTTTTCCCTGTTATTCCAAAGGCTTCTGATTTATCCAAATGCAGTGTTACGGAGTTTAAGAAAAATACAGTGGCATGTGGTCACTCTGTCATGTGTAGGGGAATAAGCACTTTCCTGTGACCTGTTTTGTGCCCATGCAATGAACAACTAATTTTGGTCTTAAAAAAACAGAAGCCAGTGGCCATTCTAAAACTACCTGGAATAAACTAATTTGTTCGTTCTGATTTTCAGGTTATGGCCACAGCCCAGCATTTGGGAACAGATTTTTAAATCCACTTGACTAAGAGGCTACGGAAGGTTGATACTTTTGACTCTTCTGTGCTCAAGAAGAAGTTTATCTACTTGGAGCTTGAATAGGATGCTCTGTCTTGGTAGGAAAGGCAATGCTGTAGGTTAGAAGCACCAAAGTTTGGATGAGCAGCTGCCTACAGTGATGAAGAGAATTTGAATTCACTTCATATTTTCTGAGAAAACAGAAACTACAAATTCGAGGGGTCTTTTTTTTTTTAAGGCATTAAGGACACTACTAAAAATTAAAACATGGCTTAAAGGGGTTTGAGAATGTCTTGATCACTTTCTATTCCTATAATCATTTATGAAGAGTATTTATTCATTTATTTGGATGGTTGGTTGGTTGGTTGGTGTGTTGGCTGGTTGATGATTCTAGAGGCAAGGAAGACCAAGAACATGAAACTCAACATCTGATGATGAGCCTTACTGTATCCTATGCTGGCAGAGGGCGTCACATAGCATGATAGAACAAGAATGCTAACTCCTGTGTCTTTTTAAAGCCATTAGTGACATGGTGGACCCAACCTTATCGATTTGTCTAATGCTGACTAATGCACAGGAGCCTTATCTCCAAATATCATTAATATATAAATCAGAGGATTGAATTTTAAATATATGGACTTTGTGGGATATGGTCAAACCATAGCAGAAACAAAGTTGAGAGCAAAAAATCGAGATGATTCATTTCAAAGAGAAATAAATTACATATAAGAAGAGAAAAACATCTTCCAGACATAATAAGGAAAAGCTTCATGGAAGAAATATTAAATAAAGACATAATTGAGATAAATTGAAAAAAGAGCACTTTACCTGTTCCTGTGGAATAAAAAGTGGCACAAAATACAGGTAGATCTATTTAAAGAATAAATTTAAACGTAACTGAACAGAGATTTGTACTACTTAAAATAATGAAGAATCTTTAGTTCACTTGAAGAGAAAAATAACAATAACAATAATGGTAATTGACTGGGTGTGTTGGTCAGACTTTAATCCCAACACTTCACAGACAGAAGCAGACAGATCTCCATGAGTTCAAAGCCGGCCTGCTCTATATAGAGAATTCCAGGACAGCCAGGGCTACATAAAGAGACCCTGCCCTCCCCCCAAAAGAGTCATGGTCAAAACATGCGTTATCTAGTAGTCTGAAGCAGAGCCTGAGGTGCTTCTTTACAGACAGTGACAATGGCCCAGAAAAGAATAGACATACTCTGTAGAAAAACTGGCAGTGGTGGAAGCGAGGCTGGCTTGGAACTCACTGAGATCCACATTCCTCTGCCTCCCAAGTACTGAAATTAAAGGAATGTACCACCAGGGCCAACTGGTATGGACTTTTGTCACTACACTAAAGACACTAAGACAGAAATTGGTATCAGGATATGCTGTAACAAACATGGCCATGTATTTATGGAAGGATCATGGAGGGACTTTGGACCTTTGAGCTAGAAACTGAGTGTTCAGAGCTTAATGAACGCTGAGAGAAGTGCAGATGGTGGAGGCCTGGCTTATGACATTCCTCTCTCCAAGACTCTGTCCATTCCAATATTTTGAATTAAAAACAATTAAAGAACCTTTTCTTTGCTAGGACAACCAGTGCTTGTCAGCTGGACCTGAAAAACCAGGGAAATGTTTCCTCAGGTTCAACACACAGAAGCTGTGGTCCAGAGGGGTCTAGGCTATACTTTGTGCTGGCAGACAAACTTAGTAGTTTGTAAAATTCCCCCAAGCAGCACTAGTTTTAAAGGCATGGAGTGGTCATGGAGAGCCATTGAGGTTTGGTGCTATAAGCTAAGCTAAGCTATTGGTGAATGTGCAACCTCAGCTAAAGTAGAAAACCTAAGACTTACAGGGTCATACATGTGGCAGGGTCAGAGAGCCCAGGAAAGCCTATTGGTGAAGGTTAAGCACAGGTTCGGCGGAATCCTATTATAGTACATTTTCTTTTTCTGGAGGTGGCTACTCCCCCGTCAACTCCTAAATATCTATTGGGGTTTCTACTCCACTTTGCCCATATAATTCCAAAGTAAACAAAACAGAAATACTGTAATTTAATAATATACAGTAGGCACTACACTGGGCAGGTTCTAAGCTATGCTAACCTCTTCATCTGTTAAAACCCACATAAATGTCAATTACTTGTCAATCTGGTAGACCCTGGGATGCATCAGGTCCAACAACCCGTCCTCAGGGTGAGCCTTTCTTATCCATGTGCTCCTGGTCCATCCTGCCTAACAGAAACTCCCTCCTCTCCCCTATGGTCTCTCCTGAAACTCTCCACCTGATTCTTAGTCTTGCCTTCCTATCCTGCCTGCCCAGCCATAGCGTCCAGCCTTTTATTAACCAATCAGGGATTATTAGGGAGCATTCTTTACAATTCATTGGTTAATACTGTGCTCCAATATCATAATATCAGGTTAAAGTCTTGTCAGGGGCACAGAACTCAGAGTCTGAATACACAGCACACAAGACAAACCCCAGCATCTTCCTACACACGCACACCTTTAGATCAATAAAAAGCCCTTTTCTTACAATAATAAACTATATACAGTAAGAACAATTATGAAAATTGCCATGTAAGAATCCACAATGTCCAGTCATTTGTATTTGGCATCTTAGGAGAGTGTATTCTATGATCTATTTTATCTTGGTGAGTTTAGAGTTCTATAGCTAGTTCATTTTCTATCGTAATTTGTGCTGGCAATCTAAAAACATCTTCTTAAGTCCTAGACAACTTAAACCTTTACCAGGAGACTAACACTATTTAGTCTTTAACCCCATCAGAGATG